TAAATGTCCACGAATTAAGGAAATAAGAATATTCAGAAGCTGCCAGCCTTCTGTCTCCTGCCTCACATGGACAGGCACATTACAGAACCAGGAGAGTGTCCAGTTCAGGATGTTGGGGGTGTATTACGCAGTGCGCAGGCCGGGGTGGGGGTGGGGAGTGGTGGAGAGGGGAAGTAAACACCTGACTCCTGGGGAAACAGCAGGGCCATAGGGGTGCTCAACAGAAACACTTTCCTTGGCATCCTTGCCCCGTCATCATAGCCTACCTTTCCCTTCCTGTATGGGGAGAAGGCGGTTTAGCTGTGACTGAACGTTGGCGGGATATATAGCCTCAAGTTATTTCTTTGGATGACCCTCCCCACACTGTAGGGTCTTGGGAGGAAAGATGGAGTCTAAGCACGCCCGCTCCCTTATCTTAGGGCAGTAGCTCCGCGACGCGGTCGGGGGCAAGTTGAACTGAGAGCTGGAAGAACTCAATGGACCTGGCGGAGGCAGCTGGTTGTCTGGGGGCGGGCCAGTGAGGCAGCAGGAGGCCAGGCCCAGGGGCCAAGACACTGTGCAAGGAAGGACCCACGCCTCAAACGCAGCCCCGAACAGTTCTGGCGTCCTTCAGGACCCTCTGGAGCTGGTCCCTGCCACGCCTGCTGGGTTCCACGCCTGGGATGGGGCTTTGATTTTCAGGCTTGGCTGTGAACCCGGATGCATGCAGACCCGCTGCCAAACCCGGGATAAAGACACTCGGTCTGGAGTTTCAGACCTGCTGGACTTGACATGAACTAGTTTACACCTCTGGTTTGTTTGTTGTTGTTGTTTCTTTCTAGAACCATTCCCTGCAAACTGCAGCGGACTTTGATCTGCAGGATTTCAGAGACACAGTGGATGATCTCATTTCAGGCAAGTGGCATCTCCTTGCAGTTAAATAAAGGAGGCAGAGGTGTTCTTCGGCTGCACCAATCACACGAGCTCAGATTTCGGTTTCGTGGTGGTGAAGGTGGTAAACCCAGCATCTGTCAACGTCGTCAGTAACTCATCAATGGGTCAGGCTCTTGCGTGTTTATGAGACTTCACCCTTCCTCACAGAGAAGATGAATCGCTGCATCTATAGCACTTTCTCAGTTTGTCGGTCTGAGGTCTGGGAGAGGGAGCCCTACGCTGTCACGTGGTCAGGGAGAGGTTGGGTGACAGTCGCGTACAGAAAAGCGGGCCTGTGTGACTTCAGGCAAGTTTGTCTTGGCCACGGTGGCGATCCAATTCAGATCAGGTCGGTAGGCATACACCGGGCGCCTGCTGTGTATGAAGAAGACAGAAAGGGTCTGGGAATCGTAGAGACCTCAGAGTGAGGGGTGCTTTACTTAACAAGGTCTTCACATAAACCCGACGTCCCGCGTGGAGTTTTGTCCCCGTAGCTAGCTGGGCCGCGTCTGAGGCGGCGAACCTAGCTCGCACTCTTCCTCAGACTCACCCTCTTTGATGTCGCCCCCTCTGACCGGCGGAGACTTCCCCTTCTCTCCTGGCGACGTACTGCCATTTGGGCCCTGTCTCTCTCCGCCGCTGGACCCAGGGGCACTGCAGCCACCGCCGCTGCCCCCTCCAGACGTGCCCCGGCCGGAGCAGTACTGGAAGGAAGTGGCCGACCAGAACCAGAGGGCACTGGGGGACGCGCTCGTTGAGAATAACCAAGTAGGGACACTGGGCTGGAATCCTGGGGTGAGGGGGTCTGGGTGTGGAGCTCCGGGCGGAAGTGGGGGTTGCAGGGGCTGGCAGGTGTCTCTTTGTAAGTCCAAACCAGTGGATGGGCGAGCTGCGGGTAGCTTCTATTGCTCCAGGGGCTCCCCGCAGTTTCCAGTCTCAGTAAGTGGGAATAATCCTGCCCGACCAGATTTTTAATAGGGACACCAGTGTTTACTGAAAGATTCCTATATGTCTGGTATTGTGCTTATCCATTTAGTTTCTCTTCTCATTTAATATTTACAATCATCACTGAAGATTGTAAAGATACTCTTACTTACTAGTCCCATTTCACAGATTAGCAAACTGAGGTATAAGAAGATTGAACTTTCAGAGGCAGAACCTAGATCTGCTTGTTGCCCAAATTCGTACTCTTCACTCAACCACCTACATTGAAAATTGAGATACATTTTGTCCAAGTGCCTTGTAAAACAAACAAAAGTCAAATAAACAAGATTATTGGCCTCACCAGTGTAAGTGCCCTTGGGCCCCCAGTTCCAGATTAGGTGTCAGAATCCTGGTATAACTCACGCAGGGTGTATAGAGGAGACCGGCCACAGTGGCCTACGTCTTCATGTGTGGGTCTCCTGCAGCTGCACGTGACGCTAACCCAGAAACAGGAAGAGATCGCCTCGCTCAAAGAGCGGAACGTACAACTGAAGGAACTTGCCAGCCGGACCCGGCACCTGGCCTCGGTGCTGGATGTAAGCGGGGTGCGGGAGTGTGGGATACTGCAGGACGTCGGAAATAGTCCTGGGCACTCATCACCCGGTCCCCAGGATTGGGACCCAGAGGGAGTTGGGCGACAGGTGGAGGCTGCTGGGAGCATGCTAAGCCACTTTGCAGCTCGCGTCTGGGCCCGCCTTGCGCTCCCCGCAGCAGGGGGGAGGGGGTCCAGCTTGCCGCAGCTTGGCGCCCCTCCCCCATATTTTGTAGAAGCTGATGATCACGCAGTCCCAGGATTGCGGGGCGACAGCCGAACCCTTGCTGCTCAAGGCGACAGCCAAAAGGAGCCTGGAGGAGTTGTTCAGTGCTGCGGGGCAGGACTGCGCGGAAGTGGATGCCATCCTGAGGGACATTTCCGAGCGCTGCGATGAAGCGCTGCAGAGCCGCGACCCCAAGCGGCTCCGGCTGCAACCGGAGCCCGCGAGGAGGGATGACATGCCGGGGAAGCTGCACGGCACCTTCCGGGGGCTGAGCACGGACTGCAGCCGGAGCGCGCTCAACCTGAGCCACAGTGAGCTAGAAGACGGCGGCTCCTTCAGCACCCCCATCCGCAGCCACAGCACCATCCGCACCCTCGCTTTCCCCCAGGGCAACGCCTTCACGATTCGGACCGCCCACGGGGGATACAAATTCCGCTGGGTCCCCAGTTGAGCTGGGATGTGGTTCCCCCAAACACTGCGCTGTATCCGGACTGAAGCGCCCGGAGGCTGTTTGGGAGTAGCTGGAACGGTTTCGTGAACCTAGCTTCTCAGAAGAGCTCCCCCTGCTGGGCGAATGCCACCCTGAACCTTTTTTTTTTTTTTTTTTCCCAGAAACAAAAAAACGTCTCGATAATGATGCATTGCAAAGTCCTGGTATAAAGCACTATATATTCCCTCCCCTTCCACAGTGTATGTTGTATGTGTGCGTGTAAACACACATATAAATCTCAGTTTTAAAAGTATTTTTAGTAGCTTTGAATTATGTACTTTTAGAGCTGGAAAGGACTTGGAAATCCTTTAGCTATTTTATAACTGTATAGTGCCCTAGTTTTATAAAAAGGGAAAGGAGCCGTTAAGAGATTAGTTTTCTATAATGAGAAGCATTATTGGGAACTTCCGGTCTTTCTCACTAGTCGTTTATAGATTGTAGGTCCAGAAGCCAGGCATCTGGATGAATGAATGTTTCATTACATCACTCAACTTCCCCTGATCCTGGAAGGACCCTTTCTTTTTTTTACTGTTGAAAATTTTATCCTGGGTGCCAGAATATAAAGTTAGGAGAGATAGCCAAAACACTTGCCTTAGGGCAATAAAGTGGAGGAAAATGAAGATCCTCAGAGGCAGTGGGCTATCTCAAAACAGGTGCTAAACACATTTGTTTGTAATGATCATTCATATAATGTCATAAGATATATGGTTTATTTTATGTTGATTGTATAGAGTTTTATATGTCTGAACAGAATAATCACACAAAAAGCAAACTTTGTTGATAGAAACATAAGTCGTTTTAGGAAAACGGCATATTTCATGTGAAAAAGTATATATATTTGTGTGTATGTATATATGTAACACGTATATATGTATATATATATATATATATATATATATATATATATATCATATGTGTATGTGTGTGTGCGCACCTGCACACATACACACCAGAAGCCAATTGAGAAATCTTGGTAAAAGCAAAACTATCTATTTGACTTCCGTAGATAAAACTGAGGTGCACATTCATGTCTTCTAGTTCTAAGGTTGATCTTCTAAGAAAAACTTACGTGTTACAGAGTGCCTTCACTATGACCTTTTTTCTATTTCCTTGTTTGTGTGGGGTTCTTTTTTCCACTGGGTTGTGGAATTATGTGAGTGGCGTATGTCAAGTAGTGATTTGTCCCAACCTTCACCGTTCTCAACATGAGGTCTCCTTCTTGCATTTGTGGGCTCAGCGAGGGCAAGTTTCCAGCTGTGTTCCACCACATCACCCATTCTGTCATCTGAGTGGTGATATCAGGTAGCAGGGGAGGCAGGCGGGCACAGCAGGACCTGCTCCTCCAGTTTGTCCTACGTGCTGTTATCTGTATTTAAATAGCCACTTAGAAACAAAGCAAAAAAAAAAAAAAAAAAGAGTGATAAAATACACCACATTTCCTCATATTTTGTCTAACAAATGGACTCAAAAAGTACACTGGACAGTTCAGAATTCCTTTCATCAGCTTCTATATAAAGTTCCTGCAGTTCAGGTTCAGAAAAAACAAAAACAACAAAAACCTTAACTTGCCCCCAAGAAACAATCAGCAGAAAGTCACTGACAAAAGAGCAGGCAACCCCTGTCCGGTTTTCCCAGTACAAAGAGGAAGAGGACCCAGGGTTAGTGCTGAGCGTCAAGGAGCTGGTGCCTGCGTCAAACAACTCTTCTTCAGTGATTGCAAGGCTGTGGGGGTAACCAGCAGTTTCCACTGGCACTGAAGTCGGAACACCTGCAGTGTAGACTCGCCTAAATGCTACCATTTAATTTTATTATTCTGTAGCTTTAAACATTTTTGCTTTGCTTTTCTTTTTGGAGTTGTTAGTTTTTGGGAAAAAATGACAAACTTTAAAAATTCCCATTGCTTTAATTGCTATCAATGTTTGTATATACTACTTGTAGGCAATCAAATCGCATCTGCCTATTGAAAATCTTCAACTTCACTTAATTCCAAGGGAAATAATGTGTTGCTCAACTTTTAAAACACGGCATAGACAGTGTAGCTTCTGTTGACAAATGGATGTGCTACTTGGTTTGACATGAAGTATGGATGGCAAACGCGTGCTCTTCATCATGGAGGGCCGTGCATATGTGCTGCAACATCAAAGCTGGTCCATCACAACCTTGGATGCCTCCTGCTCATGATTTGGTGTGAATAAAAGGACATTTATAAGGCTATGACCCATATTAAGGCATCTTCTCCTTGCGAATATTAGTAACATTTGAAGAAATACAATAATCCAAAAAACTTACTGTTGACTGGCTTTCCTCATTCACTGTATTTGGGGCAGCGGATGGGAGGGAGGGAGATGTTTTCCAAAGGTCACTAGGTTGAAACAGCTGTCATCCTGCCCATGAATCTCAGGTCAATTTGGTGTCACTGGAGATGAAAGTACATCACATAGAACAAAGAAGTAAGTGAGAGAGGTTTTTCTTTGAACAGACCAAAAATTAATCTTTCCCAAAACACAGAAAATTAGCAAATCATTTACTATTTGAAAGCAATACACATATAGAGTTACTTCTAAACATGAAGGTTTATGGGGCATCTGGGTGGCTCAGTGGGTTAAGTGTCCAACTTTTTTTTTAAGTGTTTATTTCTTTATTTTGAGAGAGAGAGAGAGAGAGAGCATGAGCAGGGGAGGGGTAGAAAGAGAAGGAGTGAGGAGACAGAGACTCCCAAGCAGCCTGACAGCATGGAGCTCTACACAGGGCTTGAATCCACAAACCAAACCTACAAACGGTGAGATCATGACTTGAGCAGAAATCAAGAGTCTGTCACTTAACCGACTGAGCTCCCCAGGCCACCCTAGGATCTGACTCTTGGTTTGGCTCAGATCATGATCTCACAGTTAGTAAGTATGAGCCCTTCGTTGGGCTCTGCGCTGACAGGGGAAGTCTGTTTGGGATTTTTTTCTGTGTGCCCTTTCTCTCTGTGTGCCCGTGGCCCGCCTTTTCTCTCTCTCAAAATAAATAAGTAAACATTAAAAAATAAACATGAAAGTTTAATCTTTTTATTTTTTAATTAAAAACATTTTAAATTATTTATTTGAATAATAATTTATTTGAGAGAGAGAGAGAGACCAAGAGCACAAGCAGGGGAGGGGCAGAGGACAGGGAGACACAGACTCCAAAGCAGGCTCCAGGCTCTGAGCTGTCAGCACAGCTGACACGAACCAACTGTGAGATCATAACCTGAGCCAAAGTGGGATGCTTAACTGACTGAGCCACCCAGGTGCCCCCCCAAATTAAATCTTAATGTCTCCATCTTCCCTACAAATCTTTTTTTAAGAAGTAGAATCCCCAATTTTTAAAAAAAATTGAATGTTTTTTATTTATTTTTGAGAGTCAGAGAGAGACAGCTCTAGCAGGGGAGGGTCAGAGAGAGAGCGAGACACAGAATTCGAAGACAAGCTCCAGGCTCTGAGCTAGCTGTCAGCACAGAGCCCAACGCGGGGCTTGAACCCACAAACCGTGAGATCATGACCTGAGCCGAAGTCAGAGGCTTAACTGACTGAGCCACCCAGGCGCCCCATCCATCTTCCCTACAAATATTTACAGTTTATAAAAATATTTGAAAAAATTTTTGAGTAAGAATGTATAACATAAGAGCATAAGACCTTAGAAAACAAGAAAGCCTGATATAATCAATGTAAAATGAGTCGTGAAGGTTGGATTCATATTTCTTTCAACTTAAATGACTGAATCAGGAAAGGAATTTAAGCAGACATGAATGTGGATACCACATTCACTCTGATTTATATACCATATTAAAAATACATTATTTTATTTTTTTTAAAAATTTTTTAATGTTTTATTTATTTCTAGGAGAGAGAGAGAGAGAGAGAGAGAGAGAGCGAGAGCAGGGGAGGGTCAGAGAGAGAGGGAGTCACAGACTGAAACAGGCTCCAGGCTCTGAGCTGGCAGTCGGCACAGAGCCCGACGCGGGGCCCGAACCCACGAACCGCGAGATCATGACCTAAGCGAAAGTCGGACGCTTAACCGACTAAGCCACCCAGGTGCCCCTATTATTTTACTTTTTATAACATTATACATTATACTGTATTATAATGGTAATCCATATTTATTGTAGAAGTGAAAAATAAATCCAGGCATTTAACAATTCACTAATTTAACCAGTATATACCCAATACCTGCTGTGGGCTAGGTATTGGGTATATACCGCTAAATACAACAGATGTTGATCTGCCCCTTTGGAGCTTGGAGGCTACGGAGTGAGACAAACAATAACCTGCAAACACATAAATATGTAATTTAAAATTGGAATAGGTGCCTTGGTAAAAAGAGAGATCAGACATTGAGAATAACAGTGGAGAATCCACTTACAAAAAGGAACTTGGAGACCACACCTCAGAGAAAGAAGTTTTAAGTATTAAATTTGAACTTTTATCAAAGCAGTACACACACAGTTAAAAAAATTAAATAGGGAATGTATATGAGAAGTAATGATCTGCTTCTCCCATTGTCACTGTACACACAAGATGCAACCATTTTTTAAATCTCTTTTGGCTGTTTACCTTGCTAGTTGCTTCCATATGACAAAGTCACTGGTTTTTAACACTGACTGTCATTAGAATCCCCTTGGGAGGTTTGGAAACAGTACCAAACAGGTGGCCCATACCTGCAAAGGCTCTACTTTAACTCTTTGTGATAGCATCAACATTTAATTCTGCTTTGGTTAAAGAACATACTATTTAAGATTTTGATCTTTTGAAGTCTACTGAGATTTGTTTAATGGCATGCTTATGTTCTAAATTGGTGCATGTAACATATGATTTGAAAATAATGTGTATTTTCAAGTTATTGAGAGCAGACTTCTTTAATAGTTAATTAGATTACAGTGGTTGATATTTTTGTTCAGATTATCTATATCCTTACTGATTTTTGTTTCCTCCTTCTTATCAAATACTATTAAAATCTTCAAGTGTAATTTTGGAGTTACCTATTTCTTCCTTTCATTCTGTCAATTTTGCTTCACATATGGTGAAGTTTATTAGGCACATATATTAAGGCACATGTATTTATAATTATTATATATATTTAAATGTATTGGCCCTTTCTATTATTATGGTGTTTCTCTTTAACTATGGTCATGTTCTTGTCTGGAAGTCTACTTTGCCTGATATTCACATAGTTACCCTTGTTCTTCTATACATAGTGTGTGCATCAAATATTTTTTCTTGTGTTTATTTCCAACTTACCTGATATGTATAGAGCATATATGAGGTTATTGCTTTTGTATCTTGTCTGACAACACCAGCCTTTTTATGTAATATTTAGCTCACTTATGTTTAGTGTAATTATTGTTACAGTTTAACTTAACTGTGCCATTTTGCCATCTGTTTTTTATTTGTCTTATATACACTTCCCTTTTTGGTTCCTCTGTTCCTTCTTGTTTGCCATCTTTTAACCAGTTTTTTTTAGTGTTCCATTTTAATTTCTCTGATGGCCTTTTAGTTGTATCTTTTTGCATCTTTTAAGTAGTTGCTAATTTAGGGATTAAAATGTGCCTCTTCAGTTGATTACAATCTACTTAATGTTGAGTGAATACAGATAAAACTTCTAAAACTCTGAATAATTATGAAGATCATCTCCTTGTCTTTCTGCTACTTTTATATACATTTCAATAATACATATAGCTATACACCTATAAGCCTAACAGTACAGTGTCTCTCCCCCATAAAAATTCTCATCTATGAAAAAGCTCATTTTTAGATAACAGTGTACTGCAAGTTCTAGCCAGTTTAATAAGGTAAGAAAAAGAAATAAAAATCACAAGGATCAGAAAGGAAGAAGTAAAACCAATGAATATAGTTTCATCTTTTACTGCAGCTGAGCTAACTTCTCCAGCAACCATATTCAATCTTCTGAAAATTCTAAAAGAGAGCCAGTCATTTACATTTTGAGTACACACTCTGAATCTGACTTAATTAACTTTTTACTTTACTTTTCTTTTGCTTTTCTTTGGTATCAACAAGATGTATCATAAATGAGTTGAACAGATAGACATCTGTTGAATTTAGACTATGATATTTTGACATATTTGCTTTGGCTTGACATATGTAACATTTACATATATTTTCAAATAGACTCTTAGAATAGTTTTAGGTTTACAGAAAAATTAAGATATATGGAGTTCCCAGATATCTCCTGGAATACAATTTTCCATACTGACATGTTAGTATAGTACATTTGTTAACAACTAATGAGCCATATGGAGTTATTATTAATAAAAGTTTATACTTTATTCAGATTTCCCCAGTCTTTACCTAATGTCCTTTTTCTGTTCTGGGGTCCCATCCAAAATACCAGTTACATTTAGTTGTTAAGACTCCTTATATTTACTTTGGAGCAGTTTCTAACCCTCGTTTTTGATACCCTTTACAGTTTTAAGGAGCACTGGTCAGATGTATTTTATTTTTTATTTTATTTTTTTTAATGTTTTATTTATTTCTAGGAGAGAGACAGAGAGAGAGAGACAGCGTGAGCAGGGGAGGGTCAGAGAGAGGGAGTCACAGACTGAAACAGGATCCAGGCTCTGAGCTGGCAGTCAGCACAGAGCCCGATGCCGGGCTCGAACCCACGAACCGCGAGATCATGACCTAAGCGAAAGTCGGACGCTTAACTGACTAAGCCACCCAGGCGCCCCTGGTCAGATGTATTTTAAAATGTCCCCCTCGGGGCGCCTAAGTGGCTCAGTTGGTTAAGTATCCAACTTCATTTCAGGTCATGATCTCACGGTTTGTGGGTTCGAGCCTCATGTTTGGCTCTGTGCTGATAGCTCAGAGCCTGGAGCCTGCTTCAGATTCTGTATCTCCCTCTCTCTCTGCCCCTCCCCTGCTTGTTCTTTGTCGCTCTCTGTCTCTCAAAAATAAATAAACATTATGTGGTGCCCAGGTGGCTCTGTTGGTTAAGCGTCTGACTTCGGCTCAGGTCATGATCTCATGGTTTGTGGGTTCAAGCCCCATATCAGGCTCTGTGTTGACAGCTCGGAGCCTGCTTCTAATTCTGTGTCTCCCTCTCTCTCTGACCCTCCCTGCCTCAAGATCTGTCTCTCTCTATCTCAAAAATAAATAAACACTAAAAAAGCTTTTTAAATAAATGTTAAAAAAAATAAAAAATCTATAAAATGTCCCCCTCTACTGAAATGTATCTAACGTTTTTATCATGATTAGAGCAGGGTAAAGTGTTGTTTTGGAGGAAGGTCCTATAGGCAAAGTTCCACTTTCATCATATCATAACAAGGGTACATTCTATCAACATAACATATGAGTGTTGATTGTTGCCTTTGGTCACCTGACTTTGTCGTGTTCATCAGGTTCCTTCACTATAAGGCGACTCTTTCTTCCTTCTTTCCCT